TATTTATACTGAGAAAATATTTGTATGGAATAAGTATTGAGTAAACGATATAAATAAACAATATATTCATTTCATTGCAGAAAAATAAATATATATACGTAAATATTTTTAATTGCGTTGTGCGTTTATAAGAAAATAATCTTTATTGGCGTTGCTGAGTCAGAAAGGAAACTCTGCGTGGGTGGCGACAGGTCTCCAGGAAAGCATTCTCGTTATCGAAGAGAGAAATAATTAAAACGCAATAAATTATATGTGTTTGTGTGTATACGTGGCAGAGCTGTAACAAAGTAACTAGACGTCCATCGATGGGCGTTAATTAATTACCGTTAGGCGGCATTTCAACAACTGAAGAAAATCCCATAGAGAAACAAACAAAGATCAAGAGACAGTATGCAAGAGAAAGAGAAGCTCGTGTAAAAAGGCGTAACATATATATTAAACCGACAAGGAACATGCATTATGCTTTCAAACGTTTATGATTTATTGTTGAAATTAAATAGTGGATTAAACGTTTCTGGATTCCGTTTTACTTCACATCAATTTGTTATATATCACATAGTGCAGCTTCGATTCGCTATAGTCCGCTTTAAAAATTTTAATTTCTTTTTCATTTTTAGATTAATTCGGTTTCAAACAATCCAGGATATTTTAACCAAACTGATTATCTATACTATATATTGAGGTATTACTATATTTGGAATAATTGTTGTATCATATCAGTGTTATTATTGAGAAGTCAACTGTACAAATGTTGATCTCATATATTATTAACTAAGAGTAGCATTCTCCTATTAGGTTCGACCCTCCAATTATGACTAACTTTGTATTACATAAATATCATATTTATAGAATGGAATTAACATAGTGGAAGTACAATATTTGGTAAGGAAAATAGTACTTTTCCGAAGAATGTATTTGGACGATTGTACTTAACATTCCCTAAACATTAAGTGTTTAAGCGAATGTTTTATGTTTATGTTTTATGCTATAAATATGATTTAATAATTTAAAAAAATGGATTTATTTTTCATTAATTTCACCATATCAAAAAATTACAAAATGTTCAGAAATGCTGAATATCAATGTTAATAATGCATTCAATATTGCTTATGCATTACTTTTCTCTATAATAGTAATCTCTATAATGATTAGGTCGTATCATGAAGCTTAACTTGGCTAATACATAAAGAAAATAAAACAAATGATTACATAAAAATACAAAAAAAAATTGTAAAAATATTATTAATTCTGTCATTTGTTTTATACTGTACTGAATTTTTTATCATTTATTTTATTTAAACATATTTGGACACAATCCGTATCAAATGGCTATCGACCATTTTTCCATTGTATTAATTATAAGAAACATAAAATATTGTAAATGTAAAAATGGCAATAAATTGGGGATTTTGTGATACAGGAAAATTATTAATTAGTGTACTTTTATAATTGGCCTCAAAAATTCTTGTGGGCCCTAGACACTATGCCTAAAGTGCATAATGGATAATACGTCCCTTCCTAGAAGATACAGCAATTTTTAATTTTTGTGTATAGACATAAACTTATTTTTTTATCTCTTTGGCCCTATTTCTACTCCTTTTCGGGTTTATCGGACCGCACAAATTTTATTGTTTTTTTGGGAATCAAACCAACGACCTTTCGTATCGGATTTTCGTGATACAGGCGACTACCAACTTATTTAATGCACTTTAATTAGATATATTCGCCATCTATGATTACCACTACCAAGTTTATAGTTCAAAAATTTTAGCGCTGATGTAATTTGCCAGTTTGTATTAGTCATTAATAGTAACCACTAATTACACGATCTACCTAATTTGTAATTCTCCATATGGAAGTAATTGCGCTTAAACTATTTATAGAACAATTCATCCATATATATTGTGTAAAGGCGCCATCTCTCGTAGATTATTTTAAAATTATAATAAAATGTTTCCGATGGGAATTTCAACCGGAAACAAACATTTAAAATAACAATTGAATTAATCAGCACTTATATATATATATACAGTGTAACCTCGCTTAACAAGCACCTCGAATAATGAGCATTTCGCTTAACGAGCAAAATGAATTGTAAGAAAAATGACTCGCTTAACGAGCGACGTTTCGCATAACGAGTGATGATGAGAAGAGAAGTCCCGGATTGCGCGCCTGCTACTTCATTTTTAAAACTTGTGTACACATATTATGTGAAATTTTGGAACGGATTAAACTCGTTAAGAGAGGTTCCACAGTATATATATATATATGTTTTAAGTAATGTTATTAGTGTTAAACACAGAGTCGAACCGGAACAGAAATTTTTAACTGAACAGAAACTGTAACTGGAACGAAATTTTAATTACGGTTAATTTCAGTTCAATTTTTTGTTAATAGTGTAGTGTGTCGGTGCTAGTGTTTTGCTTTATTTATATAGACTTTCGAAAAAAATAATATTTCGACATTGTGTTCGTCGATCTATAGTTAATAGAGTATTTAAACAATGTATAAGAGACATCCACGAAATCTCATTGAATAGTCCGAAATATACTCCTTTCCAGGCTGAACGTAAATTTTTAGACGAACCGAAACCGAATCTGGAACGATAAACATTTACTTGAAACGTAACCGTAAACCGAAATTAAATTAATTTCGGTTCGACTCTGGTGTTAAATAAAAAAAAATATTACTTTGTTTAATGATTACAGATAATTTATGGATTATGGTTTTATACCTTTGTAACTTAAAACCATCAGATTTTGTAATACAGGCAACCATAGCAGACTTACCTACAGTATGAAGCGATTTTGGCAAATGTCTAATTTGTGGCTTTAAATGTGAAAAGTGTAATTTACAAAACAAACAAATGAAAAATTTTGTGCTCCTAATCTAATTGCGCCCGCGGCATGCGCCTCTACCGCAACACCTTAGTTACGGCGTTGCTTATTACATTTAGACCATAATTTTAAGTCGATTTTTCTATGTACAAAACCCGAAAAATATAGTACATCAAAACATGGATATAAATGGAAAATCCATTAATATTATTTTTAACTTTAATTTAATAAAAAGGTTTTAGTTATCAACAGAAACTTGTATTTAAAAAATCTCTTTTAATTTAGTTCAAACAATATGATGTAACTTCATTGACAAATGTAGGAAAAGTCATACCAATATAATTATATAATAATTTTCATTTATTTTCAATTTGCGCATTCAAAAAGTGCAAACACAAAAATCCGCATATTGAAGAACTGCAAGGTAATGAAAGACATGTGCATTTACTTAAAACATATATTTACAAACTGCAGTGGTCTAGTTTCTTTTAAAAAAACATAAATTAGTGATAAATATTAAATGCGGAAATTCATATTGCAACCGTGAATGGTGGTGACTGTTTAATAACAAAAAAAAATAGTAGAAAACAAATATTAGATTAGAACTTAAGTAGATTCTTTTAGAAAGAAAGATGTTCCAAGTGGTAAAGCAGTTTACTTCAGGTGGACGTAGTGCCATTTGTCGACTGAAACAAAATAAACATTCATGAAAACATTTACAAAATGATGATGAATTGTAATTTTTATATTAGTTTTATAAATTTCTATTTTTTTTGTTATATAATAAAGATTAAACTAAAAAGGGAATTTATTTTCACAATTTTTAAAGACAAAAACTATAAAAATATACGAGACAAATTTCCGATTACAAAATAGATTGATAGAGGTATTATAAATACGATTGTAGATTTAAAAATTGAATAATATATCATAAGAAAACGCTTTTAAATTGTTGTTTTGTTTTTATGCAAACGCTGAAAATGAAAACGAAATTTAAGAAGTTACTGCTGAATAAATGTTAAGAAACAAAGTAATCTAAAAAGGAGTTGAAATGATAGTGAAAACGTTTTATTCTTTTATTGAAAAAGGATCCACCTTTAGAAAAAATGTTACAGTTAAGTAATCCAGTACAGTAAATTATCCAGAAAAAAGGAGAAACAATAAATTTTAGACTAATATTTGTAAAATATCACTTGACTTTGTATTATTGCAAAATTTCGTTTATTGAAGTAATTTTATGGAACGTAAAATCTATAGAAAGTTTCAAATGAATATTATAGATTTCATATGTTTGTATTTAACATAAAAATGATATTATACTATAGAATAATCAAAGAGTAGTTCAAAGTATACGAATTTGTGAACTAAAATTCAATTTGAATTTTGTAAAAACGAAGCTTGGAATTACCATTCACAAGTTCATTCATTGAAAATGAAGACGAAATTTAAGAAGTTTACGTTTTATTCTACTAGTGGAAATCATACAGATTTAAAAAAAAATCTTATTGTTAAGTGCAATTAAACTAAACAGAAAAAAGGAGATTTAAAAATTGAATATATCATAATATATATCATAAAAAAACGCTTTTAAGTTGATGTTTTGTTTAGTTTTTGGAGAAAATATTAGCCCACTTCTACTATTATGTAACTTCTTAGGAAACTTTGTAGCTATATGAGAAAATAGCTTATTTATTCAAAAAAACAACCATAAAAACGAAGAGATTGGAAAGTTTCGAGATTGAAACCGAAAATATAAATTGTCAAAAAAAAACTTGATTCTATACTTATTGCATAAACTCTTAAATATATTGTATTGTTCTTGAATCTTTCCAATCAATAACTGTAAATAGAATGCAATCATCCATATCCAAATCTACTCATGGGAAAAAATCAGCTCCACTGAAGCCAAGGTTTTCTGTAGGAAGATCAAAAAGGACAGATACATATTTCCCCATAATAATATAATTTATATTTACAATTCACAAATGACTGTTCAATCTCTGAGGGTTATCAATCGCATTGATGAAATGCACTTTACCGACTGCGAAAAAGGAAAATCCGTTTTGTACCACTAAAGTATTGGTTAAAATATAATGCTCTTACCGATTGGATCGATTTCAGCGGCCGGCGCTGGGGGCGGCGATTTGTTGACTACGTCACTGGCTTCGCTGGCGGAAATTTTGAATGCGCTTCCGTCGACGGTGGTGTTTGCACTAAAAATAAACATTTAATCAATACTCATCGGTATATGCAATTTGGTTAGAAGATGAGCACGTACCATGCGATGCCTTTGGCATCGACCTCCTTGTTGACAAGCATCTTCCAGAATTTGTGCACCTAAAAACAAAACAAGTTTTCATTAACAACATAGAATATAAAATAAAATTTCATTTGTTATTAAGCAAATAATGATGGACTTTATTATGATAAACGTTTATTACTACAAATGAATTATGTTTTTCAGTATGTTTGCATCAATTAAAAACAAATTTGTCTTCAAACCAATTATTATAATAATTGTATACTCTAGTATAAAACGTAAACAATTAGTAGCTAAAAGAAAATTTACATAAATACGTCAAATTGAAATATATTAAATTGTGAATAATTTGAATCGAAAAGTTGTAAATATTTGTTTAATGAATTAAACGAAACTTGTAATCTTAATAGAACTACGTTAGTTGTTCTTTGCATTAAAATATAGAGAAACTCAAGTCATGGTAAAATAATTTTAAATATTTATTTAACGAATTTAAGCAAATAATCTTCTCAAACATGATAAATTCATTGTTTTAATGAAAATGATGCGAATTTTTTGCGAATTATAATATACGAACTCATTTATACCATAAATGAATTAAAATAAGACGTATTAATATGAAAATAAATTAAATATTTTTAATGGAAGTTTTATGACAAGAAGATTTTCTTACTCAACTGATTATCGACTCAAAATTTATGTAACATCAAATATACTTTAATATAATTAAAAAAATATTATGAGAATATATCATTTTGATTCATTTATTAGACAAATTATACTGAAAAACTGTATTTTTCTTTAAAAATTCTTTCATTTTTAAAATTTAGTTTTCAATATTTATATATCATTTGATTAGATTATATTCTAGATAATTTAATAGTATTTTCAGAATAACAAAAAAAGCAAATATGTTGATTTTAAAATATAAAAATGTTGATAGAAATTTGTTTCATAAATGAGAATGATCTAAAGGTCAATAGTGCTTTGCAGCAGTTAACTTTTTATTTTATTATTGTATGAAAATGTTTATTTTTAATTATTATTATTAGTATTTCTTAGATTTCCATGTACATAAACAATCAATTATTATTTAAAATTGTTCTTAGTTATTGATATAATAAAGGTTTTATAATATAATAGAATATAAACAAGAAAAAACAAGTACCTTTCCAAAAAATTCGCATTTGAATAAATCAAAAATGAATTTCCAACTTAAATAATATTAAAAAAAAGATTACCTCTTCGACGATGTTGTTGGCAAATGCAGCCGGTTTGGCTTCGCCGTTGAAAGCGAATTGGTTTTCTGGTTTGTTGTCTGGGATCTTGTAGATTTTGAACCATTCGACGGAGGCCTTCAGGAGACCCGGGAAATGCTTCTCAACATCGGGAATGTCGTTCAATTGATCGGCCAACGGATCGTTTACATCGATAGCGATCAATTTCCAATCGGTCTCACCTAAAGTAACAAACAAGAGAATTGCAACAAAATACATACAAAACAAGTTCCTATCATTATTTACATTCGCATTTCCTTTACCATAATCACATAGCAAATAGTAAATTTATCCATAAACTAGTGTCAAATCTATACCTCATGTTTGTTTACATGTAATTATATATGTATATATATATATCCTAAATTTACTCAAGTAAACGAAAATATGAATATTATTCGAACTGTCTCAATATTTTGCATTTAGGATTCATTTTCTGATATATAATGTACACTTAAGTATATTTCTGGGATTATTTATAAGAATTACGATTTGAGAATATGTAATTATGTTTTGTCAAGTATCAATTAGTAAACTTTAATAATCAATGTAGGTTAAACAGATGATAATATACAAAAAGTCGAATCTATTTTTGCACCACTTGAATATTCCCCCCAGTAGACACAATCAATTGTATTATGTCATTGCATCTGACCTTCATTTAAATGTATAGGTCACTTAGCATATACAAAAATACAAAGGGCCTGATTACGTGGTTATTTAGGAAGTAGAAGCTCACAGAATAGTCATCACATCTATTTTTTTTTAATATTAAGCTGAATCTTTTATGTAATATTAGTCTTAATTGCTTCTCCTTATTTTGACTATTAAACTTAATTGATTCACTATAGTCATCAACTTAAATAACGAACACGAACCTGAGTTATATCCATTAGAAAACTATATCAAGAGTCACGAAATCCTTATAATAGTGTATCACTCTAAGTTCGATAATCTCCGAAAGGTAGCAGAAATAGGTCAGTAATAAAAAAAGCAGAATGCAAGTTACATGTCTTTGTTAAGCCTTTCTAGTCGTTTAAATAACTTTAATTATCCACATATATTATAATATAAATCGTTTAAATATGCGTATGTTAAAAGCTAGTCTTTGTCTGTAAGCTGTTGCGAAATTAGTTCCTCGAGGATCTCACCTTGTCCCAATAAAAAAAATTACTTTCACTTAACATTTCCTGAACGGCAGCTTACTAGAAATCTACTATTAAACGCGTTGCATAAGCACTCGGATCTTTCAAAGTTTATCACTTTCCCTCGAAATCTGGCATCGCACTTTTCACTCAGGATTATCTGTTATCATCAATTGATGATCATAACCGGATTTAAAACGTGATTCATTTCTAATCTCTTCTGTTTAATGGTACTTCAAATTCTCCAAATATATTTATTAATTAAATCTATTTATTTTCATAAATTTTCTCAACGCAAAATGTTATTGAAGTAGTAAAAATATAAATAGTTAATTATAATGTTATCGATAAATAAAACACGTTTAATGTAATCATTTTAATGGAAAACTATTGTAGATTTTCTAATTGCTCAATTCTAAAGTTGTTACGCAATTATATATTATTATTTCTTTACTAAATTTACGATCTTATTATTCTTCAAAAAAAAAACAAATAACAAAAGTTTATAAGGTTTTTCCTGTATATACGAATCTACGTGCGTTTTAGTTTAAATAATCATCTATTAATAGCTTTACTATTTGTATCATATATAATTTAAGTAATAATAACCAAATGTGTCATGTTTTTATATAAATAAATTTTCAAATTTCTCGAAATCTCTGAATTATATAATAATAATGACTTATAATTTTTTGTACATTAAAAACAATGTTACTGATAACTTCAATTGTAAGCTGAAAAAAATCGTAGTTCGTAGCTGTGAATATAAACTTTATCAATTATTTATGCATGTAAATTATGATCAAGGACATATAGTTTATAAGGCTTTCCTGTCCTATACATTTGCAAATTTTATAAGTCATATAAAACACGAACGACATGAACAAATTGCTGATTACTTTAACGAAGTGTACATATGCCGTTTGTTATCTAAAATTGTTCACTTATACCAAAAAAAACTATTTTTAGTATCTTTTTTACTCATTAAGCACTAAGTTTTCTAAGAGTTCATTAATAATTATATATTTCCATTTTATTTATTGAATGAATTTAAAGTAATTCTTGAGCGTTCAATGAGCAAACATTAATTAATAAAGTAAACACTTTCCCCATGTAAAATTTTAATGAGAATCGAATATTTAATTAATGCAAATTCCGGAAATTACAATTTAAATTCAGTGCGTTATCGCTTCAATGGGCAAATAAAGCCAACTTACGTGTTAAATAAATAACTATTAATAACGTTGACTTCAACATAGAGAAAAAAGTACTGATTGCTAATGCATCTGTATTCATATGTACTTAAATCATTTTTATCTAGGTTACCCTTTGTGCTTCTAACAAGAAATATATATTTATATTGTAGTTATTTTCACTAATTATATAAAAAGGTTTTAATTATATTTGTACCAAAGATTCCCATATATTCTTATTAGAATAATGTTTGAAATCATGTTCATCATATTAATTAAGAAATTCAATATAAAAGGTGAGTCAAATAATGTAATCATTGCAAATAATATATCATTCACATACCTTCATCGATGAGGGCAATGGTTCCAAGGACCTTCACTTTAAGAACCTCCCCACGTTTGGCCACCCTGTAACCAATTTCAATAACATCGATTGGATCATTGTCGCCTTTGCAGCCAGTGCCATCATCCAAATGCTCTGGGTTCTCCCAGGTCTGTGGGAGTGCTCCATAATTCCAGATGTATCCGTGGTGAGGGAAACAGTTGGCAACGAACCTGACTTTGCCTTTCTTAACATCCTGCTTAATGGGATTCATGGTCTCCTTCATTGTGATCTAAATATAAGCATTGCATTTAGAATTTGCATTGGAATGAGGGAAGTGAGAAAATGTGGTGAAGTTAAAGTCATGGCCTTTTAGGTGGAGATAGTGAAAGGTCAAGCAGCTGAATTTGCATGCATATGGTTGGGGTGCAGAATCTCACCTCCATTTTAGCATTGGTCCACCGGGGCACCTCCACAACCATATTGTAGATCTTCCTGGTGGCATCAGCCACCAGTGGGATGTCATGAAGGGGTGAGATGGGTCCATTTCCATCAGCTGCAGAAGAGTCAGTGTTAACGAAAAGTTGAATGAAGTTGGTGACTGGCAGACTTACTGATGTACACCCTGTAATCGGTGGTGTTGAGGGAACCCCTCTCGATGATTCCGTACATGGACATTCTCCTAAGTTTCCCACTAAACTGAGCCGCTAAACCTCTGACACTAGAGCTTAGGATAGATTTTTTCGAACAGGCTGGCAACACGTGTGATAAAACAGTGAATGTCGACATTGCACCATCTATCTGCAGGATATCTAATCGTCTAACGGATCAATGTCGCGCCAGCGCACCAAAAAAAACTCCTGATTCCTAAGAATATTCTAAGAAATTCCAGCAATTCATCCAATCCACCACCATACGCGAATCATCTAACACAGATGATCTAACAATTTGCTCAAGTTTACGTAATTGTTGACCAGAAGGCTGACCTGTTACAAGGCGAAAAACATGCATATTCTAGAAAGATTCTATACTTTTTCTCTCGTATTCTTAAAGATAAGATAAGCTAAACAACAAATTTTTCGGAAAAACATATTATAGTTATGTAATTTCCAATTAATTATAATTAAGTTCAAACTCCAAAGTTCTTTCGGAACGTAGCTCAAAGGTGTCGCTCATTTTTTCCCATTATACTATTAGTTGTATTGTCCCATGATTACGTATAAATATAGCAACCAATGAAAATAATTTGAAAAATCCTATTGGAATTCATATAGCTTATACTATTAAATATTCTATAACAGCAAATAAATTAACATTATTGTAAGTGAAGTTGCATAACAAGAATAGCTATGAAACCAATAAAAAATATAAAATAATACCAAATAATAATTCAATTTAATTCAACTATTGTTGAAGACATCGAGAATTACTGTAAAAACGTTCTACATTTAATGCTTGATTCTAAAAACACACATTAATTAATACTGAATTAAATATTGATAGAGGCGGATTTAGGCAGGGATTACAGTCCACAGCCTCGTTCAATTAGAGGCGGTCAAAAAAATAAACATAATTAATCCAAACTTGTGTATAAACTCAAAGACTGTTATTCAAGGCTCCTAAATATTGTTAATCGAAGACCCACATAATATTAATGGAGTGCCCCGAGCATTGTTAGTATAAAGTTAACAGTTCGTCTCTGATCATGGAATGATACATTTATTTGGCATATTTTAAGTGATAGAAGTTCCTCCCATCCTGTCTACAAATAGATTCTTTCTTCATCAGTTTTTTTTTCTCAAGGGAAGAGATTAACGGTACTTCTATACCTGATCCTTTATCACTGGAAATAGTTTCCTTTCGTTTACCGACGATGGAAAATCCTTTATATAGGAAATATTCCACGGAAGATACTTGAATATTTTAAACATCAACATGATTCTCAAACTTATATGCAAAGTTGATCTTATATTTTGTAGAGTATGAAATATTTAGTTTTTGTCTATTACATCATTGAAAATGTAATGTCTTAATGAGATTATAATCATTGAAATATAGTAATAATGTTATAAGTGATGGAAGTCCCTTCTATCCTTTCTAAAAATTGATGTTCTTTCTTCATCAGTACTTACGGTACTTCTCTACCTGATCCTTTCTCACTGGAAGTAGTTTCTTTTTGTTTACCGACGATGGAGAAATCCGTAATATTGAAAATATTCCACGGAAGATAGGGGTACTCATAGATATGCTTTTAAAACTTATATACAAAGTTATATTTGATAAATCAGTTGTGGGTAAACTTTTTAGGAGTGGATCAATTTTCGCAAAAAAAATATAGCACGTCCTTAAATTACTGGGTTCTTTAACATTGATATACTATATTACTATACTACTGTTTTACAATCTGCAGCGGGCCGGATAAAACCTCTAGACGGGCCACATCTGGCCCGCCTGCTATACAACTTTTTTATTGGGCTGTAAAAGCATAGCACATATATAAAATAATTAAAATATAAAGTGCGCCTTCCTCTGCAATTTCGATGACATCTTCTTCGCTATGTGGCCATCCATGGTAGGCCTTGTTGAGTCATTCGCCTCTCTGCGCTACTTCTCCAGGTGGTGTGCAAAGGGCAGCGGAACCAGCAATGCTGCTAAAGTGTCCTCTAGTCTATAGAGCATGAACAATAATGTCAAAATAAAAAAATGGTTTTTGTCTACTACGTCATTAATAATTGTATATCCTCATGAGATTATATACACTGAAAAATCGTATAAACTTAACAAAGATATAAATGATTGAGATTCCTATTTCTTTCCTACAGAGTACTTTCTCTTCATCAGTTATTTCATTAAAGGTACTTTTCTATCTAATCCTGATATCATTAGATGTAGTTTCTTCTTATTTACCAACCATTTAGTATATACAACATAGATTAGTAAATTGAAATTAAGGTTAAAATAAAGTTAAGTATTGAATCAATAACGCACATTTATTATGTCCAATGAATAATAATGAAAATTTAAACCAGTTAATTTTCAATCATTCGTTATTAATCTGATTAGTTTTCATAAATAATATACATATTATTTAAATACGCAATAACGAGAAATATTTACTTAAATTTATTTTATATTTAGGTCGAAGCGCATAAATTAATTGACACAGAAACAACAATTTCATGTTTATACATTGTTTTTTAAATAATATCATTAAAATATTCAAAATATGAATATTGCTTGTATAAATAATATGGAAATTTGATATGTGTATATGCAAAATAACATATTTTCAATTCAATTATTCATCATATAATAATTATAATTAATTTACGAATTTAAAATTATTTTTCTAGAAGTATAATACCTCACATAGTCTGGTTTCGCTAATATTCCGGACTGTTTGAAACGGGACTAAAAATAATGTGCAGTCTGTACTTCATTGTACAAAGAGAGAAAAACATAATTTGGTTTGAATTTGAATCATAATTAACTTATGATTCATTGAATTTACGTAATTACATATAATTTAATTGGATTTGTTATTTATTTATTAGTCTTATGATTCATTGATGAAACTTTTTGTTTCATTGCGAATAATTATGAAATCGATTTGTTAATCTATATTTTTAGATAAATTTGTCATACAAACATCGTAACTATTTTGAATAACAAAGTACAAGTCACTTTATCACTTAAAGTTGTCTGAATAAATAAACCGAGTTTATATGGAAGAGTAAACATGCAATTGTGATCCAAACACTATTAAACTCTGTAGGGAAAGTGGGGAAAAGTGAAAAGGGCTTAACCGCCAATAAAAAAAAAAACTTTCTATCAGCACTACTTTCGCCCCCAATCGTTCAGCATCCCCTGGGAAATGCTGCTGCGGCAAAGAAAACTTGATTTAATCAAGGTACTTTTATGAAAATTCTTGTCAATCTTGCAAACTGAAGACAAAAAGAAAAATGTTTGTTCACCATCTACGTTATTTGTGCAATTTCATTATAAGCATATGCAATTTCATTAGATAGTTTTAATACAAGCATAAGGGAACGAACTTTCGCGGACACGTTCTTAATGGGGTAGAAAACTGACATTTTTTTATGATGTCTCTGCGAACGTGCAATATTTACATGCACACGACCAAAGCAGAATGTGAGTTACAGTTTTCATACTGTCACAGGAGAGATAAGCTTGATGTACGTGAAAGTTTCCGCTAAATTTGCACTCGCTGAAATGATAAATAAACCCTCGATTTGTATACTTTTGCGTGCATTTTATCAACCAGTCGTTCGCGATTTATTGCAGAAATATTCTCCAGTTTTTATTTAAACCATAAAACACATCTTTGTATATACGTCAAAACAAACAGTATATTTTTTATTTCAATCAAAGTAAAATGATTGGCATATGTTGTTTTCCTATTAACTAGATTATAAGGTTATTGTCTCTAGTATTACTTTTAACTATAAAACAATTCTATTTCGATAATTAAGTAAAATTTATAACCTTTTTCTACACGTTTATGTTATAAATAGACTTCATTAGATAGTAACGTAGCTATTACATAACAAGAATCTACAATGTGTCATCATCTAATTATATGTGAAAAAATGTTTGAATTAGAATTTGAACAATATTTGTTGAGGGATCAAAGTTAACAGTCAACAGGTTCAATCCATGAAGCCCCCATACATCATCTATTTAACTGGTGACTAGGGCCCATAACAACATTAATATAGAATAGTATTAGCCTCAAATAGTGTTAGTGAACATATAAACTGAGAACAACAGAACATCCTTCGAACGCTTGCGGAATGGTCCGATATTTGTAGCTACGCCACTGTTATTAGATATTATTTTTGTATCACGTTTGTTAAACTCAAACCATCTAAAATGTTTGAAATGGAATTTGAATGAACAATGTTAGTAGAGTGCCAAAAGTTAACCGTCCACAGGTTCAATCCCCGAAGCCCCAAGGCATCATCTAGTTAATTGGTGCTTAAAGCCTATAACAACATTAATGCATCCCTACCCGAATCCTAAATAGTGTTAGTGAACAAGTAAACTGAGAACAACAAGAAAGAGCTGTCCTCCGAACATCTTGAGGAAGGGGCCGATATGTGCAGCAACGCCACTGTCCTAAGATATAATTTTTGTATCACGATTATTAACTCAAACCACCTAAAGTTTTTTTCATAATTATATTCAGTTTGATGAACTTGACTTCGCTCTTAAAATTTGTTTGGTATATTCAATAATATATCTGTTGGATATACTTCCAAGCAAACACCTGTTCCCCACCACTATATTTGTATGTAATTGTTATTCTAAATGATGTTGTAATAAAAGACATTCGAATTGTATCCATTAACTAACCTAACAACAACATAAAGAAGTAGCTCTGTACACGTGCGTCAAACTTCAACATATTAGCAGATTTACATAGGTGTATGGAAACTCCTTCGAAGCGGATACAATTCATGCCGTTAAACCGTTACAACGAGAGATCTACCAACAGAGAACGATCCAAGTTCAACCAAGTTAACGTCACGAAGAAATCAACTACACCAAAAAGGAAATCATAGGGTAAATTAATTCTTTAATCAAAAGTTTGTTAATTCTTATAACTTTTTTCCTGTCTTTTTATATATCACCATCATGTTTTTAATCCGCTTGTTTCAAAATTAGGTCGCGCAGTGACACCTAAGGTCAAAAAAATTACGTTACAACTATAATACAAACAATTGTATTCAATCGCGCGGCAAAAAGATTGGATAAATATGATGTTCAGAAATAAGCTAATCTTAGTTGAATCGTTAAGGATATACTGTATTTACTCATACAATCATAGTTCAAATAACAGTACCTCTGTTAGCGAAGTTTCGACATAACAAAGTCCGCATCAAACCCCAATTAACATAAAAATATACCAAATTTAAGTTATGTTAATCATGAAAACCATCCACAAAGTAAGACATTGATAGGTCTTGGAAGGGAGCGAGTAACAATAGAGTGTGGCACAAAATATGGCCAAAAGTTGTACTAGAAGAAAAAAACACACAAGAAATTAGAAATCGTTTTGAAGATGTCGACGAAGATGATGTAAAAAATTATTACATACAGAAGATAATGGATTTAGTAGAAGATTTAGAAAACGTTTGTAACAATGAAGAAACATAAAATGACGACGAAAAGATATTGAAAATGTTATATAGTTTAGTGACAATGATCTTGATGTAGGTAGAAGTAAAACAAAAGAACATTATCAACATTTTATACACAATTTAAAATTACACTTAAAAAAAACTTTTAATTTTCTTTACGTCATTGTAAAGTTTCGAAAACGAAGTTTCGCTTAACGAAGAAATTTCGAGGAATACATACTATTCGTTATTCGAGGTATGACTTCAAACATAGAGATAAAAGAGAAGGGGAACTGCGATCAATTCAGGTGGTTTAGGTAATCAATATATTAGGATAATTTAGATCAGTAATTCCCAAACTTTTTCTGCAACGGAACACTTCGTAAATACTGAAATTTTCATAGAACAGCTTTATTTTGTAAGATAGTTGACTCTTTGAGGGGCCAGAAATTCCTAAATTTTTAGACCTAACAAATTTCTAGATAACGGAATCAAACAACTACTTCAACTGAATCAACATCGGATAGTATTGACTATCAAGATTCGTAATGGCTCAAAAAGCTCGCAAAAACCCACTAAACTAAAAAAAAAACGCTAATCCATGTAACTCAATAACACATTAATTTCAAATTCAATCAAGATTCAACCTTTGACATACAAACTAAATTAAAAGATAAGTTTGGGAAACCCTGGATTAGAATAGAAGTTAGGACAAGACTATATTTTATTTGTATTTATTTTTGTATGTATGTTTAATTGTTATAGTTTTAATAATAATATTTATTTTATTATTATTAAAATTAATCTAAAAAAAGACATATGTTTTAGTTAGATTTAGAAAACGTTTACTATCAGTAAACTCGCTTGATTAATAATAAACTATAACATAAACTTTAGAAATTAATGAAATTATTACCAATTAAACTTAATAACCAATTTCCTGTCCATTTTACGTCCTTTCTAAATGCAGACCAAACAATAGACGAAGGCGTCAAATCAATCAACTAAAATGTCGTAAATTTTAATCACGAAGCATGAATTCATCCGATCCGGTCCAGCGAAATAACGCAATTTGTGGGCCCATAAAAATGGATTTCACCAACGCAATCCCATTCGGTTTTCACTAAAAAAAAATCAATTCAAAACAAACAAAAATGACAAACAAGGAAACAAATGAACACGGAATATCCGTTGTTAATAATAGGACAGAATTGAATTTTCATACACACCGCAGCGGTTTTTTTCCTTCTTTCTCTATTTTTATCGCTGCCCGTGTTGTTGTTAATCTTCTTATTGGAAAATGCCGCGGTTCCAGGGAAATTTAATAAATTTTAGTGCTTCATGTACGATAAATTTGAATTCTATTACAGGATGTTATTTCTACGGGATTACGCCGTAATTTCTTTTGCGTGTGTGGTTCATTTTATTTATTTCATTCATTTTTTGCGCCTGGAATATGATGGAGAGTGGATTTTCTGTTTTTAATTCGACCCATTTTTCTGCACTCTGCGGAACTCTGATTGGAATTCACTCTATTTATAAAAGTGATGCATACATTTGTTTGCAACGATTTAGACGTTTAAATATTTCAGTTTTGAAAATTTGAAGGTTTTATTTGTTGCGTTTAAATTAGAGTTTTCCAATTAATTTCTATTTATATTTCGTGTATTAATTTATGTCTGTCAAAAAGTATACATATTTTGCACAATTTTTTTAATTTAATTTAATACGACATAACGCAAAGCAATATTTTCGTATATGTTTACAATTTAGCAACGATTTAGACTTTCAAATAATTGAAATTGTTCAATTTCTTTAAACATTTTGTATAACATTTATCATCATTTATGAAAATATGAAAAGTAAACAGAGTTACTGCAGCGCTCGAAGAGACGAATTATTAATAACTTTAATGTTGAAACATACATCTGTTTTTCGGGACATCATGTTTTGATGTTGGACGTGGATGATCCAGAGCGGGAGTCTCCTACGAGTATGAATCAGCCAGGTCGGGTCTTTCATCATGATGAAAAATAAAATATGTACAACATTTTTATATCTCGTTACAATTAATTTTGAAGATGTGTTACTTGCGTCTAAATATTTCATAATAATAATATTTTTTGCAACAAACCACTATAATAAAAACTCAACAATGGAACATAATAAGAAAATTAAAACCAAATTGATTTGCTACAAAGGGCTACTGACCATAGGTTTTCCTGTCCTAAATAATTAATTGGAATTTTCTACATTGAAATAAATGCAAAAATGAATTGGATTGTATTAATTTGTGTCTGTAAAAAAATATTTTTCACATTTTTTTTAATTAAACAAAACATAAGGTGAAGACATTTATTTATATAGAAGATTTTATGCGACGTTTAGAACTTTATTATTTTATAATAATATTTTGTAATATATTTAAACGAATAATATAATACAGGTATCCCCCGACTTACGAACTAGTTCCGTTCCGAAAGGATGTTCGTAAGACGAATTTGTTCGTAAGTCGGGGGAATTTTAAAAATTTCAAAATATACTTATCTTACCATACTTTATCATAGTTTTTACTTTTATATATGTTAAATTCCGTGTTACTGACTGTATACATTTTAAAAATAGATTAAAATAAACAAAATACTTACTTACAAATACTTTTCAATGTAGACATGACAATTATTTAATAAAAAAACGACAAAGGAAACAAAACAGATATCACATCTTCCAAAAATATTGAAAAATGTTAGAGTTTATAGAATTTTGTTCGTAAATCCAGGAGTTCGTAAGTCGACGCATACCTGTATATTATTCTTTAGAATAATTCTTGACCTGTTCTGCATAACTGTTTACTTCAGGGCTGCGACAATGGTCATACTTCATGGAAGATACTGTTGGTATATTCTCCGAGTTGCCCGGAGTCTCATATTTCCAGATATTATCTATTATTGTAAACTTTATGTGAAAGTTATCATTTCTGCAGCTGCGGTGGCTGTTTCAACTCAGAACAATCCGTTTGCGTGGCTTATCCTTCTTGGTCGACAATTTGCAGAAGTTCGTGATGTTCACTATGTTTTTATGGTGAATCCGAATACCATAGTTTTGCACAGTGGAGGTGTCAGGACAACTGTTTGAGTGACCGTTCGTGGAAATGAAGGTAAAGTTTTCCATAAAATCCAAGTTGGAACCGTACGAGCAGTGTTTGTTAACATAGGATGCGGACGGAAGTGCAAGGCTGAAGGGATGAGATTATTTGTATCCAATTTTTGGAATACCTATAAAATAATATTACATTAAATTTGTATTGATTAATCCCGTAACTGAGGTATAATTAGTCTTTGGCAAGTGTCTTTACTTTCATCTCCCTAGACAGAAACATTGAAGAAATTCAATTTATTTACTATAATTTATTTTTACCACTTTTTAAACAGTAATCGATGACTTTAAAAACACACAAGACATGATTTACGTATTAAAAAAATGTTGTAATATTTTTTATATTTAGATCAATTTTAACAGTTTGTTTTGAAATGTTCACCAAAATATAGTGAATCCGGACTATTCGATGTATTACTCACCATACGTTATTATTTATTTCTATATTTGTTATGTTCTTCTTTTAGGCTCTACAGTTAAAAATAATATAAATAGTTTACTGAATCTGTCACTAATTTCATTGTTGTAGGCTTTTTTTAATATTTTCGCAGCATTTCGCACATGTAAATTATCTGGACGTGGATGAAAAATTACCAATTTTAAGCATATATTTAGTGAAATTGCTGTCTGTATCACAAAACTCTGATACGAAAAATGACAGGTTCGAATTTGATCAACAATAAAATCCTTTATGTGATCGATTAGCACAGAAGGTGGCAGAGATAAAAAAGGTTTAAGTATATCGAATCGGCGTTAAACGAGGAAGTGCTAAACGAGGTCTGTACTTGATATTTAAAAAAACACCAAGATTCCGCAAAGACAGAACTACTGAAATTATAGTTTTTTTTATAGTCTTTTGAAAAATAATTAAATTAATGATATTTTAAAATTAGCTTGGCACATCTTCTCAAGTAACCGGCTGAGAAACTTTGCCCAATATTTAAAGCAATTAAACACCTTAGTGCACGTGCAACTTGTGTTGATTACATTCATTACAGACAGATAAGTTGCATCTTCAAATTCACAGCCTCAATTAAATGTAGAGCACTTATGCATTGTGTTGAATATAGACAAATTTGGGGAGAATTTTGTTAGAAATTTAAATATAACACAAAGTTTTTTTAAAGTATTTAATAAATACTTTAAAATAAAACAATATCTCGTCAAAATCCGAAAGAATGGTGTGAAAAACTACGAATAAATTAAAATTTCTGTATTTTTTTAAGGATCATAAATTTTTTTTTTTTCCAATATGCTAAAGCACCAGTTGGCATTTATGTTTATTTTGTTTATAATAAATGTATAGTTTTGGGGGTAAATAAATAATGATGCAATATAATTATATTTTTTATTAAGAAATTTGACTCACGACATTTTACATGCAAACTGCTGATTGTTGATTAAGAAAGAGTACATCTTTCTTAATGATGAATATTGTCTCTTGAGGATTCAATATACATGGAAATATGCATCTATCTACTCAACGGAATAAAAAATCTGGTGTTTTCAGTGTTTGCTTCGTCGACTTGTAGATCGTGAAGGTGTTCGTGACCGTGATCTGGTCTTGAACCTAATCCTCAGCTTTTGTGCAAGATTTTGTGTAGATATTTCTTTTTCTCTAAATTCTATTCTAGTTTTGAGTTTTTCCAACTGTTCAGTTAACTCATTCACTTTCATATTGTCTGCAAAATTGTCAGCAATATTGCCTAGTTCATAAAAAGATTTATGTCTACTATTTTCCATAAGAGCACGCAAGTCGGACGGTAGTCCTATTCTCCAGATCGCTTCAACTATTGTTTTCGGAAAAAAACTTATTTTGACCAAACTTTCAAGGTGTCTTAAATAATTTGACGGAGTACTTTCACCCATTGTTTGTTTCTGAAGCAGTTCTAGCGTCGCTTCAATGGTCGGGCTTAAGCGTTTTATAAGCTCATGCTTGATTGTTACGTATTTTTCTTCATCCGGTAAATCTATATGTTCAAGCATCTTCATGTATTTTTCATTTAAACAGCCTGTGACTAATTGATACTTTTCATTATCTGTCAAGTCTTGTATAGATGAGAAAGTTGTTTTTTCTATAAACAAAAACCAAGTCTCTGGGTCCGATGGAGTGAAAGGTTTCATCTTTTTTGCACGCTTCTTTCTGAACGTGAAATATATAATTGAAATCACGTAATTTTCTATACACCAATTTGTTGCAATCTGGAAATACGTTGAAGCTGGGCTGAAGAATAACGGTTAATAATATACAAACACTGCACTAACCAACTGAGCAAATATGATCTTCTCGGCTTGTCTTGTATAAACTTGCTCTTACAACCCCCACTATACTTATCGTATATTTCGTTTCAATGCTAATAGAGGGCACTATTACCGGAATGCATAATGAGCATAAAGTTATGTAAAGATGTACTATAATGCGAAATATTGATTGTTATAAAATATATTTTATTATAATTATCATATTTAAAAAAAATCGCGCGTTTTAAATGAGGCGTAGTTCGATTGTATTTGTCGTATGAATCGCAAATATCAGAAGCAGAGGTCCACAAAGTGCGGCTCTGGGAATTCCACGTGGCACATCAGTAACATTGAAAATAAAACTTTTTCATTTATATTTTTTTGAAAGAGGACATGAGGATACCAAAAATATCTATGTTTGTCAAAAAATGAAAATATTATCATAACATGGAAATAAATACGGTAATTTATTAGTTTCTTTGAAGCATAAAAATATTTTCTTCAAAGCGTATTACGAAAAAGTCACTAACTGCAGTTCCTATTCAATTTATTAGGTTTGGAGTCATTAAGTAAATCGCAATTTGAATTATATGATTCAAATGTATTATGAAAGAAAGCAAAAAACATGAATATTTTAAAAAATATAACATTTTAACATCTGAAAGTTATGAAACGAATATGATCTTCGTTAAAAATGTAAATATTAGAGTACAATCGGTGATAATCGACTAAACGCTAAACAAGGTCTAACTGTACTATATTATTTTGAATAGCTTATGCAAAATTCCCATAAACTGTTACACATCATTAACACAGACTGAACTCTCTTCCTTGTTTAAAATATTAGTGTTCATTCATAAAACTTAGGTAGAGAAACGGATTTGAATCTGGGTTTCATAGTAAAAACTAGTTTCCTTTTCGATTTTTAATGTGCAAGGCCGTCCTAAGCCCACTGGCACCATTCAGAACAATTTCATAAGAAAATACAGGGAAGCGAGAGCTCATTGACTTCTAGGAATATTGCGTCCCCTCACAAAATACACGGGTTGAAAAGCAACATTGGCCATTTAGCCTAATAGTTAAGGTATCCCTGTAAAAACAGATAGTTTTTGTCAATTAGAAGAAAACTTAATCCCTTATCATTAAATTAAGAGAAGAATAAAATTATTAGTTAATAATTAATAAGAACATCTTAATTAGACATTAAAACAGCATTATAATTAATAAAGAATATTTATACTTAATATTAAAAAGAAACACTAAGATTCCACAGTACTACTGAAATTATAGTGTTTAAACTTAATATATTCTCAAAACATAATAGTTGAAAATCACTGTCTTAAACCACTGAAACATCTTATTGCACGTTCAATTTGTGTTGCTACATTAATTAGACAGATGATTATATTAGTATTGATCATTTAATGATCTGTAACTATTCAGTTCTTTATTTAAACACGGCGAGTTACAGTTTCATTGTCACTGGCAAAATGCATTGTGTCGATTTCAGAAATTTTTGGAGAATTTTGTGAGAAATTTAAATTTCTATATTTTTTTTTACACTAACTTTATAAAAATATCCTGATTGACCAATATGATTACACACCAGTTAGTATTTATTTATATTATATTGAAGAAAGGAATACTTTTTGGGTAAATAATGATGCAATATAAATATTATTTTATTACTAATTAAGTTTATTAAGAAATCGAAAAGTTATTCTATATGAACATTTCACATTAAATTATATATATTTATGAACGTATGAACTATCGATTTGAGTCCCCTGAAATCGATCGATGTGTACTTAGTATTCGTCGAAACATGGTTTAATGTACAAAGGCTGAATACCTGAAAGATAATAATGGACAAAGTGAATTTAGTGTTTGTGCATGTATTGTGTGTATTGCATGTATTTATGCGGAATAAAAATTCTACTCTTTCCAGTGTTTAACCTAATGTTTGTTCGAACGACGTGTTCCATGTCCAATGGTATCTACGATTTTGACTTTCTTAATCTTCGAAGAAGTCTTGCCTGTTTTGACGTAGAACGTTTATACATCTCTTGCTTCTGTAATTCTAGCGAGTCTTCGATCGACGGTTTTAACGGGTTTGTAGGCTCATGCTGGACTTTTTCATTTTTCTCTTCTACCTCTTTATCCATCATTGTTTGTTCAAGCATCATCAAGTAATGAATGCCCATTCTCATCATGACTTCAGTCTTTTCATTATCCGTCAAGTGTTTTAAACTGTCGAAAAACAACTCTAGCTTCGTTGGCATATATCTGTTCTCCATCTTTTTGCACGGTTCTTCGTGAACGTGAATAATATAATTTAACTCACGTAATTTTCTATCACGTCGTCGGGATAACCAATTTGTCGCAATCTGGAAATGAGTCAACCTGAGCTGAGCTGTTGTATAACTGTTAATATACAAACACTACTACTGACTACCTGAGCGAAAGTGGTCTTGTCGTCTTGCCTTTCACATACTTGTCATCGTATATTTCGTTTCAATACTAATAGAGGACGCCATCATCGGAATGCACAATGAGCATAATGTAAAGATGTATTATAATGTTATTATAAAATGTACTTTTTATAATTAAATAAATAAATTTAGTAATAATATTGTTTATTGTATCAGTCGTTCAGAAAAAAAAACATATACAGTAATAAAAAAAATATATCTATCATTTAAAAACAAAAGTCAACTGATACAAAGGGCTATTGACCATAGGTCGTTCTGCCCGTAATATAATACTTAAAAAAAATCGGTCCTATTACAGTAACAAAATCCCGAGAGTATCAACAATTAATAATCTAATTGTATTTTATATTATTTGTTAATGTTTATTATGAATAAGTGAAACGAATGAATGTATCAAATAATAAAAGATACTGTCGAAATTATGGTTGTCGGGATTTTGATACTGTCGGGATTAAGTTTGTTGGGATTTTGATTGTCGAGATTTCAATTGACATTTAAGTAATATTGAAAATAAAACTATTTCATTTATGTTTTTTAAAGGACTTGATTACAAATAGCATTTAAGGCTGTCAAATAAATATAAAATTTAAACAATTTTTTCATAACTTTCCTACCTAAAATAATTAACATTTATGTGATTTTCGATATATCTATTAAATATATGAGTTTTCAAGCGTATTTTTAAACGCGAATGAAAGCAAATGGTTAAAAAAAAACTAAATTTTATTAGATTAGATCAGTTCTATCGCGCATGTGAATGTGAACGGATGTGTATTCGATCGTTATCCAGTATAGTATATTATAGTTTATTTATTTGTTGTTTATTAAAAAGTAAAAGACAGTAAGACTCACCTTGTTATGAAATACTAGTATTAATTTTCGCAGCATTCTGCTGGTCAGTCTGGATTCCAGCCAACTAACAGAAAAGAGGAATATCGAAGGTGGCAAACAAAAATAGTACTGATGTACATGCGATACGGGTTCGGAATGCGATTCAAATGCGACTGAAAAATTTAATAAGCCGAAAAAAGTAATAGGAGCAAGTGGGAGAGAGAGCCAAAGCAAGATAAGAATAAATAAAATAGAGGCAACCGTGAAGACAACAAAATCGAGCAATTAGTAATGAAATCTTAAATATCAAGGATGATAAAAAATTAAATCACCGCCGTTAATGGTACTAAAAATATCAAAGAGTGAACTATTGCGATTGATTTTAATGCCAAACTGAATACTTTTTGAAAATGATTTTTTCTTTATATCGTATAATTTTATTCACAATTTGTTCATCAATGTGAACATTGAGTAAATTTAAGATCGCGGTTGACATTAAATGGATAATCTTTCTCGGTGGATAGTAACCATTATGATAATTTGATTTTTAATTTGTTGGTTGGCTGTCATCTTGTAGGTTAACTTCACTAGTATATTGTTGCTCTGCGATTCCACTATTTCCTTTCACTGTGGATCTGGTGCTATCCTTAACACTGTCCATCGACTTGGTTGAAGGTTCATGTGCTGAACCTCATTCATTTGACTGTCCATCTGTGCTGCAAGCACGAAGAGGGCTCACAAAGGGCCTGGATTCGAACCGGCGCCCACGAAATCAAGGGTAGGGCGACTTAACCATTCGGCTATTAGTCGCCCTGAAAATGATTGAAAAAGACAAAGTTAAAATTATTCCAAAGATATCTATAATAATCTATTATCTACGATAATTACACCACCATAAAGAAGACACTGGAGAGTCAATGAACAGTCTTTTTAACTTACAAACTAAATGGAACGAAAAATGATATAGTAATAAGAAAATATTCATAGCCCTGTGGCTCGCTGAAGCCACGTTGCATGAATTGTGGAAAAAAAATACCTTACTTCAGATTGCTGCAAAGAGAGATATATGGAAGAAACATATGCCGTATGCAGAGTATACGTATACAAACAAATACAGAAACGAAAATTTCCAACAAACAACAATAACGAAATTCTCCGCACTCAACAAGACATAATTACACGATTGGAACATTTCCAACTTCATGGTCAAAATATACACAATGCTGAACGTTGTGTTAGTTCTCTTGTCCAAACTGATGTAATATGTGAGCTATTCGTATAGTTTTATGGAATATCAATGCTTTAGCTCAACATACGAACAGTTATGACTATTATAATGGCAAACATCAACGATGGGGAACAATATTGGAATCACCACCTCGAGAAAGACTTTTGAAAGCGGTGAAAAACAGCATTTTGGAACAAAGAAGACAGCATACTGGACCATGGACAGTCCCAGATGTACTTGACATCAGCATAATAATCTCTAGGAATTATCTTCAAGCCTTGTCATATTTGGACATCTCTGATCACTCCTCAGTTATCATCACACTGAATTCGGTAGTAATCAGAAAGAAACACCACCATTTCCTTACAATAATAGAACATATTGGGAATATTTCAGGCTGCTGCTGAAATTTAACTAAAAGACAGAAATCGATATTGACGAGGCGATAGAATATATAAATATATATAATAAATAAAATCAATGAATAAATTCAAATTTTGTCATATTTTGCTTATGGTTTTAATTATTAAACTTAACTGAAACCTAACTCAACTACATATTCAAGTTTTCGCACTAATTTTTTTTAATATATTTTTTCTTGAAAATATGTAAATTAGTATTTTATTATAATCAAAGTCCTAAAAATATTATGGATTTAAATTGTTGTTGAAGTCAATTTCATTGTTACAGATATTGTTAAATGTTAAATTTTTTATAAAAATTGTATACTTTTGGGGATAAATAATAATGCAAATAATTTAAGCATAATATCATTTTTTATTAAGAAATTTGACTCACGCATTTGACTTATGTTTGAAGTTGCGTTGTAAGTCGAGAAGTGATCATATATTTTTACATTTCACATTAATATACAAATATTTATATATGAAATGTGAATTTCAGTTTACTGAAAGCGAATAACGGTAGACGTGATTTAGTATTCGTAGAAACATAGTTTAATGTGTCTTTTCTAGATTTGGTTTTACATATACTGATTATCGTAACAAAAGCTGATGGTTGATGATTAACAACCACATGTGCGTTGATAAAGATTGTAAATGTCTTTTCAGTATTGAAAATACATGAGATCTGAATCTATTTAATAAATCGTTTTAAATATCCGCAAGTCTCTTCGAGCTGTAGACAACGAACAACGTTGATGTGACCATGATTTCCGATAGAACCCACGTTTCTGCCTTTTTGTCATATCTTTTCTAATTATTGCTGTACTGATTGTTAATCTTGTGGTGAGGTTCTTCAACTACTGAGTCAACTTTTTTGCTACATTGTCAGTAATTTTACATTAAGTTTACATCAGTATAACTCAATATTTTTATACCAAATTGTTTAGAACTTTATTAGCTTATAATAAATAAACAATAAATATACTTTTAATATAATGTAATGATAATAATAATAATAATATAAAATAAAGTAAAGAACGTATTAATTATTTATTAGTGATCAATTGAGTTAGTTAATTGTAAATATTAAGTAGTAAACTAAAATAATTCTTGATATATGAAATATTATAAGTATATTTTATTACACAAAACTATTCTAACCAATTTAAAATACACTTAAATTTTAGTAAATATTTCTAAAAACTATATTACTGTTAGTACAAAAATATTTATTTAGTATTAGTTATTTAGTAGTTATCAAAATCAAATTAATTTTGTATTTCTTTCGTAAATCTTTTTTGCAATATAATTAAACGAATAATATATTATTCTTTAGAATAGTTCTTGACCTTCCCCGCATAGCTGTTTTCATCAGGACTGCGACGACGTTCGTATGTCATCGAAGACACGGTTGGTCTATTCTCCAAGTTGTTTGGAGTCTCGTATTTCCAGATGTTATCTTTTATTGTAAACCTTATGTTAAAGTCATCCTTTCTGCGGCTGTTTCTTTTAAAATGGTTATCGGAAGCCATCTCAGAACAGTTTCTATCCATATCCGTTTGCGTGGATTTATCCTTCTTGTTCGACGATTTGCAGAAGTTTGTGACGTTCACGATGTCTCCAACTAAGGGTCTTTCTTCAACATCCGTGTATATGGGTTTCATGGTGAATCTGATACCATAGTTTTGCACAGTGAAGGTGTCAGGAAAACTGTTTAAGTGACCGTTCGTGGAAATGAAGGTGAAGTTTTCCATAAGATCTGGGAAGATGGAACCGTACCAGCAGTGGCTGCTAGGATGTGGGCGGAAGTGTACTGCCGATGGAATGAGAATATTCGAGTTCAATTTTAGGGAATATCTATAAAATAATATTTCATTAGATTGTTGTTAAATAAATAAGTCTCTTCTTTAGTGGAGGCAAAAAAATATCCCAAAAATGACAGAAATTTAATTTTATTAACTATAATTTATTTACTCTTTTTTTTTTCGAAAAAAAAAAAAGGTAGAACGTTATAACTACTGCGGTTAATGAATTTGTTGAAACAAAAGAGGTACGGTTAGTATTGCAATATTTTGCGCCCCGAATCTAGTAGTGCCTCTCCCGCCACGCGGGATTCAATCAATAGGTTCTGACTGTTCGAAACCGGATTAATCGAGGAACTAAGTATCTTTAAAAATAAACTGAACCGGAAACGAACCAAAATTTGTAGACGAACAGAAACCGAATCTGGAACGATAAACATTTACTTGGAACGTAACCGTTAACCGGAACGACATTAATTTCGGTTCGACTCTCTGGTTCCAGGTGGTTTTTATTTGAACTCTTTCTACTTAACTTAACTAAAACATAACTCAATACTGAACCTAGCTTATACTTGCGTAGTGTTGCTATTTGTTATAAGCATTGTTCGTTTAAACACGTGAACAAGTAAAATAAGTTTTTTCTTTGTTTGTTTTGTTTTCGTAGCTATGCGCAGACATTTTAAAGCCAATTAATATTGTCCAATATTGTTTTTATTGTTATATGGACCCTATATCATTTATATTTGTATTTGTTATATGTTATGTATATATGTATTATGTATTCTATAACTACTAAATACTTTTCTACTTAGATAGACTCCACAACTAATGAATGTATATTTCCTATTCATAATCACTACCTAATAACTATTGTCGTATACAAATTCAAAAGTGCATACCAGCCAATTCGACTACAAATTCATACATACCACATGCATTGTATGTGCCCACTGTGTATGGATGCTATGTTTCCACTACATCCATGGACCGCGCATACAATTCACTACTATAAAATTAGATGTTTTTGTTGCTAATCTTAGTATCTTAGTTAGACTAGGAACATACCTATATCCTATAATTCTTAGCAATTTGAATCTAGACCAAGAAGTTGTTAATAATCTTATAGTGTATTATAATGTATTTATTATCGTAAAACTCCAGCTTCACCTCTAGCATTCTTTAAGAACTTCAACAGTGTCAAAATTTTATTTCTTTAGTATATTTATTGAATTAATCAGTGATGAATCAGGTGTCGTGGCCAAGAACAAAATATGCAAACAATTTTCTAAGTTAAGCATAAACAGGATCTTCCTGCAGTTTTTTATATTTGTATGCAAATTACTCGTAAATCTGAAATTTTCAAACAGTGTGTACGCACCTTTATGTTAATTTTAAGTATATCATAAAAACATGTTGTGATAATAATAAAAAAATATACTGAGTCGTTGAACACATTTTTATCAGTTCCAATAAATTATAATGGTATGCAATAAAAATGTATGTGTGTGAATTATTTAATCAATGTTGTTAAGCTATAATTGTAACTGTTTGCACGTTTCTTTCTTTTTTTTCGTATTACGTCTCAGGGGTTATACTTCATGTAATATAAGTTCCGAGCTTGCAAAAGAGAAAATAAAAGTCTAATAAAGATTGTGTTATATGAAGCGAAGGAAACGGTATACAAAAGTAAGAAGAAGAAAAGATATAGAAAGGTAATATGTTTCATAATGAAACGCGTACCTTAATCGAATCACATAGTTGGGCGAAATTTGGTAGCGGTTTGTATAAAAGATGTTGTCCGTTGCTTTGATCCTCAGATTGATGATGA